TCACTAAGTTGCTCAGGGCCTTGCTAAATTCCTGAGTCTGGCCTTGAATTCGCAATCCTTCTGCCTCAGCCTCATGAGCAGTATGATTKCGGGTGGATACCACCATACCCACTCATATTTTGCTTGTAAGGGCTAAAAATTAAAGAATGATAAAAGAAGACCACATCAGTGAAAGGTGCTAGTTACTATAACACTGTTTAAAATCTTACTGCCAGAGAGATTTTAAATAAATGTAATTCTACTTCCAATTTCTTTTCATTAAAATGACAAGTTGTTACTGAAATAAACAGAACTTTTTCCAGATATATTAATAATAAATAAAAGACTATTAATAAGGTCATCTTTATGAAATGATATCAAAAAACTTAAGTATCACAKACCAACCACAGGAAACTCAGTAAAAATGTCTTGAAAAACAATAGTTTTATAAAGCTGAAATGTAAGAAACCAATGAAGGCATTTCTAGGCTTTTCTTTCCTACAATATATATAATAATAGCTTATGGTCTATCTGTTTCTAGTAGAGAAAGTTTTTGTGATTTTGGCCAAGGGTGAGAGAGTAGTGACAAATAGAAATTCAGTTTTTGATGCCAGTACTATTTTAATGGTCATTATTTTTATTTACTTACTCCAAAAAGATAAGAGTACTACTGATATCAACAATAAATTCTTTGATATATGTATATGCCTTAGTCTTAGTAGGTATACCCTTGACTTTATTTTAATTTAAACGAATGCTAGACAGGTAGAAATGTCAGAAGAGCCAATTATTTTTTACTGCTCCTGTTTTACTTTTGAAAAGCACAGTATTTTAAAATCTAGAGTAGTCATTTTCAAAGAATGTAAAGAATGCAGGTTCATAGAAATAAAAGTTTGTTTGATAAACTTAAGAATTAAAAAAACACTCAGAAATGATGTGTTAAAACAAACCAAAAGTTAAACAGTTAGGGGAATTAGCTTGTATGATCTAATATAAGCTTAATTTAAACAATRTGCTTTAGCATATAGAAATCTTCCTCTGTTGATCCAAAAGCACAGCAGTCATGGGGATTAAAACTTATAATACTAATAATTATTCACCTTTTAGTAGTCCCCCCCATTAGTACATCTAATTATTAGTACATCTGATAAACTAGGGAACTAGAACAATAGAATTAAATTTATCTAAGTTGAAATTCCAAAAATACCTTTAGAAAACAAAACATAAAAAGAATTTGTTTCTAAATCTTTCAGAAACACAGGCAAAATTCCCCTATATTACCCAGAAAAATATATATGTTTATTATAAATATCTTACTAATAATTCTGAATTTATAAAATTTTATAATATATAGTAAATAGATATGTAAATTAATAAGCAAGTATAATGACTTTAAAAACCAACTTTGTTCATTATTTCACAAAAATTCACAATAAAACAATAAAAAGTGAACCAAATAAAATAATATTTTTTCATTCTTAGATTATAAATTATTCACTAACATTCCATGGCAAATCAGATATATTTAAACCTATTGCTTTGGAATAGAACAACAAATTCACACAGCTTCAAAAGTAAAGTATGTTTATTATTATTAAAAGAAATTTGACAAAAAGTACCTTTAAAATGATAAATAAATCTAAAAACATTGAATGACCATTACTATTTTTTCTCTTTTTTTACACAATGCTATTACATTACAGCCCAGAAATTTTACATAGAACAATAAAAAGAAGGCATTGTGCTAACAAATGTAAGTGGATAATTAAAATTAGTGAACATTAAAAGCTATATTTAARTCTAACTTTAAATCTTAAGGACAAACTTTTTAATACAAAAGCAATGAAGTGTATAAAAGCAAATCTACAATATGGAGTGCGCCCTACTTTGGATGTAAAATACATTTTTTTCTGTGCTTAAGATAATCCAATTATATATTGCTTTATCATGATATTCAGAAAAACATTGGAAAGGAAATAAAAGTGTTTTAACTCCCTAAAAGTGGACACATAGACGTTATGATAGCAGTCATACAAAACACACTAATGAAACATTCCAAGTTAAAAGATAAAGAACATGTGAATGTTAACAATTTAGATCTGACTAATCATCATTATCCTTCTCCTCCTCCTCATCACTACTGCTACTGAGAGTCAAAATCCATCCCCTGTAGAACTGAATTTTCTGAAAGCATGGTAAAGGAAAAAAGAAGCACAGAGGTTAGTTAATTATGGCAAATTTCTTGGAAAACATGTAAAAAATATGAAATGCTAAAGGAGTTAAAATAATTTAAAGCAGATTTTTATGGCTTCGACTCAGGTTGCAATCATGGATATAACATTCCATAACTTAACAGGCCTAAGATAAAGCTGTGTTGACTTTTATACCCTCCATGTATAAAATGGTTTTATGATATCAATAAGGTATTCTATGAATATATTAAAATTATTCTACATCTCTAGTAGATGTAGGAATTGACTACTAGGAAGCACTATAATAATATGTAGCTTTCTAGATAGAAAATTACTCAATAAAAGTATTTTATATTTAATTATTAAATATGGGCAAATATAAATTAGTGAACAAAGAGCACCTTTTTAAGAAAAAGAGAAACATTTTAAAGTATCAAATTTTTTCAAAGGCTCTATCATTAAATCATTTAGATGAAACCTAAACAGATGAGGTTTTAAATCTMGTTTATATCATCCAATTATTTTTCACAGCACTAGTATTCATATATTTTAACTCACTCACTAATAATATAGTAGTTTCCATTTAAAAAAAAATCACTACTATTGCTAGAACCACCACCTACTTCTTAACACCTGTAAGAGAATAATACTAATTGTAAACATATTAAGGTAGCTGGAGAATTCTTATAGGTATTTTCAGCTTATACTGTATTTAACTCTCTTGCTAAACAGTAAGTTATGAGATTTTAGTCCCTGAAATAGCTCTTGTAGTAATAAATGCTAAGACTGGAGTATTAAAAATAATATGCATCTCTGGAAGTACTTAGAAAATCATGCCTTTAAATCYCAGAGTTTAGAACTTCATAAAACAATTAGTAAAGGCATGGAAATAAGTTACTTGTCACTTAAATCGTCAACCATGAGAAATTTTTAATAACTCATAGTTTTCTTATATATTATAATCTGTTCCATTATAATAATGACAATTGTATATTTCTAAATTCTCACTACTCATTCTTATTTCCTAGGAAATTTTTAAAAATAGTTTTGTTAGAAGTATTTTTTAGTTTTTTTAAAGGTGATTTGAAAACTACTCAACTTTTAATCTAATAAAATGCTAATAACATTTTGTTTGTGCTCTGACAAGATAAGTCAGGAATTGAGTAGAAATGTTAAACAGTGTTAGCCAATGTCATTTTTGCAACTATCTATCTTCAAAGAATGAAACAATGTAGAGATTTCACAATAAGTCCTTAGAGCACAAGCTTTCAACAGACTGCAAATATTGTGACACTTTAAGGAGCAATTTAAAATCACAGSATAATATCACTTCACTAAATAGTGTACATTAACTCTGTGGTTACATTTTAATATACTAGGCAGCAGGCTCAGAGAAAAATGGATATGTACATTTTGTGCAATATTATATACTCTACATGAAGTAGGTAAAATATTAAAGTTTTAAATCTTTACCCTGGTTATTTTAARTATGAGAATATTTAAAATATCAAAGCTATAAAGAAGTGCCATATATTCATTATTACTGTAAGTATTTTTGAATCTGTATAATGTAATAACTACTGGTATGTTTTCAAGCAAATGATTTAATTTAGTATTCCACATCTAAACCACAGAAACAACTTTAGATTGGTATAGCTTAGTATGATCACCATGTTACTTACACCAAAATCCAGATATTAATGTCTGACTTATCAAGTAAGAAATTGTCTGAACAGATAAAATATTCTACCTTCCAAATATCTAGTGTTTCAGAAGCTAACCTCCCTTACTAAAAGATACTGGCTAGCATGTGAACTACATATCAAATCTTCCAAGGTTTTACACAGACTACACTAGGAACAACAACATCCACAAAAACTAAAAACAACAACCACAAAAAAAAAAAAAAAAAAAAAGCCCAGGAAGAAGATCATGGCCATTTGAACATCTTCAAAAGTAAATCATAAGAACCCATGAATAATCTACAGTGGCAGTGTTCCTGAGTTTTGTTTTATTTTCAATTAGAGATAAGGATTACTTATATCTGGTATAAAAGCTAGTAGTGGTTTAATTAACTGAAGGAAGTATCCTAAATAGAAGTGGTCTATATGTACCACATGCTATGAGGATAAATAAGGCACATTGGCTTTGAATAAATGTAGCAAATCCAGTGCAGAGCTAAGAATATATAAAAAGATTAGATTCACTAAAATTCTATTAAAAAGTTACCAATACAAAAGCTTTTCTTTATGTTCAAAATACTGAAACAGCTGTATGTAGTTTGTAATTTTAAGACTAAAATCTACTGTTGGCTTTCACTTGCAAAGTCATGCATTAATTGTTTTCATATCAAACTTTTTGATGCCTGTAAAAAAGAAAAAAAAATCTTATAGTAAATAAATGTATTTTAAAGCCTAAGTAAATACAAAAAACTTAAAAAAGGAATTAATCAAAATTGATCAAAGTCCAGATAATCTAATATATATTTATAGCCTCATATAGGTACTTAAAAAAAATCTAGCTTTACTAATTTAATTTTAATTTATAAGACATTTCTTCACTTACCTGTAACATTTGATTTCCAGTACCATCCCTCAACCTGTAAGGTCTGATGACTCCATCTTCATTAAAAAACCGAGGAGGTCGTAGACTCTCCACTTCATAAGATTCTGTAGCTCTAGAAKAAAAAATACAAATGAAAAAGTTATTAAAAAAAAAACCTTGTAAAACACTATAAAATGTAAAAAATACCACATCACTTTTCCATTTTTAAATTTGCTTATATGATATAACGTAAATTCTCTAGAAAAAATATAAAACTATAAAAAAGTTTGTTAATAGGTTTTCTTGAGATAAAAATCAGAGCATTTGTTTCCCTTTAATACCTTTGGTTTCCTCCAGTACAATTCTAATTATAAGTGTGGATTTCAAGCACTCTTTTTTTT